CCTTCAAGTGTTTACACTATAGCTCTTTGGAAGGAGGAGAAGTTTGCTTCTGGATAAGGAGTTTAGAAATCTCTCTTTATCAAGCTTTTTGGGCTAACTGTGAGTGAGATAGCTTTGTTGTTAGAGATTGCTTCGTTGTGGTTTTTCTATCTCATGGGTTGTATATCCTTCTTATTGTTGTTGTTCCCCTTCTTCAGTCTTCCAAGGATGCTATTTATAGCTGGATTGGATAATCTATCCGTTGAATCACAATAGACTATCCGTTGCATTTGCTGGCTTTAGTTTTGAATGAAGAATGTGATTTGAAGATTCCTCGTTGATGTGGGTGTTTGGACATACCAAATTGTTTGAGGAGGGATTCCTATTTTTCCATAATCCTTCTTCTAGCTGTTGTTCAAGAATTCTAAACTGTAGCACTTTACTCTATTTGTCTTCTAGTGCTTGTTTAGGAATTCTTGACAGGCTCTTCGGTTTGAGAAGTCCAGACATTGTTTTTGAGTCATTTGTTCTTGAATCAACATAATTATCTTCAATCTAGCCGTTGAAAATCAAGAGATTGATTTTTCCTTACCAACAGGTAAAATTTCTTCATTCAAGGCTTAGATAATTTTCTAAGTCTTTTCTCACTTGTCCGCTTTTTGAGAGTTCCGGTCTTTCTTGAGGCATCCGGTTCTTAGCTGACAAATCCGGAGGAGTCATTCTCAGACTTCCGGGTGAGAAAGAGATCCGCGCTAGTCTTCTGATTTGGATGACTTAGCCTTAAGCGGGTTGTAGCGAGACATCCGGTTATCATGTAGTCTTCTGGATTAGAGGATTTTCATCTGCTTTGAGAAATCCTTACTCTTCTCTGACATTTCCGATCAAGATATCCAATTTCCATATCTCAGAATTTGATTAAGTCTTCAAGTATCAAACCACTTAAAGAAATATCACAACTTTATTGGAAATCTCAAAAACTCGGTTTTGACAATATTTCTAAAAAGAAAAATTACATTAAATATTGGGGGAGACCTAAAGTCCCTATTACATTCTAAATACATCATCATCAAAATCTATAATATTTTTTCCAACAATTTCCCCCTTTTTGATGATGACAAACAAGTGTTTAAGAGTTCCGGTCGCTGTATTGAGAACTAATTTTATAACTTTCTTTTAGTTTCTCATAATATACAGCTTGTTAACAAAAACTCTTAAACAAATACAATTCAAATTACAATAATTCCTAAACCAAGTCTTGTCTTGAGATTTTGTGATATTTTCCGCCATTGACCGTTTTCAGCTCCAGCAGATCTTGCTTGGCGGAGCGGTTGGCGTTGCGTTTGATAGATCTTTAATATCCAAAGTGGATTTTCAAGATCTTGGAAGCAACACATCTCTCAAAAAGCAAAAACAAGAACAAAAAACGAAAGAAGGAAAAAGGAAAAAGGTAGAAAGACTAGAAAGAAAAGGTTTTGGAAAACAGAATTGATTGCGAAAAAGATAAAATAAGGGTTTTTAAAGACGAAGAAAAAAAATAAATTTAAAGGATAAATTTTAAATAAAAAAAACTTTAAAAGAGAAGAATGATGAAAAGGGAAAAAAAATTTTGAAAAAGAGTTTTTTTTTTTTAAAAAAATAAGAAAGTCTAGAAAAAGGAAAAGAGGGAGGGGAAAGAGATCAAGGTAAAAATAAAAAGAAAAATAGAGAGAGTGTTGTTCCAGAGAAAGTGTATGGTGTAATCATGAAAAAATACGAGATTTGCACCACATACTTTCTCTACTGCCGAGATTTGCACCATATACTTTAAATTACTTTTCTTCTCACTAGGCTTTTCTCCATTGCCATCTATGAGGGTGAGAAAGAAAAATTTCTCCATTGAGGATAATTTTCTTGGTGTTTTTCTCAGACAGTGAGCTTGAAGACTTTTCATATTGAGAGAGTTGTTTGTGATAGGAATGGATTGGAATGTCTTGATTTAAATAGGAGAGGAGGTAGTGAGAGGGAGGTTCGCGGGTTCCATTAAGTGAGTAGTTGGAACGGTGGGAGTAAAAGAGCTTCAACTTCCAAGAGGTTGAATTCTGAAAAGTTGAAGGAATCTTTTACAGATTACCAAAGAATTGAAACTGTTCCAATTAGAAAATCAGTTTCGTTTGAGAAACGTAACTGCTTTGGTTTGGCTAAGCCCAAAAGAGTGGCCCAAAAAGAAAGCTATGCACTAAAGGGAAATTATAACAATTGGGTTCTCAAGGCCGCCCAAAATAAAATTATCATTTTTCATTCCCTATAGTTCTAATTTCTAATTAGGACGAGGTAGTACCAAAACAAATATGAAATTTAATTTTAAAAGAAAAGTGGTACTATTTTACCAAAGTCTTGTACATTATAAAAATCCTAAGGACCAGTACTTTTAGAGCTAGTTGGAAATGAATTAAGGATTAAAGCTTAGTTTAAGAAAGCAGATTTTGTAAAGTACCTGAATCGAAGATTTCCAACTTTAGTACTAAAACTAAGATATCCGTCTTCCGTTGCTTAGAGCTCATCAATAATTCATTGCCAAGAACAATTGTAAGCCAAAAAACTAGTTAAGTTCCCCCTGAATTACATTCCCCCTGAATGTATGCGCTCAGGAAAGAAAAAATCTCAAAATTATAAATCATACTTGAGATAAGCATAATCAAGCATAATAAGCATAATTAAGAGAAATATTGAAGCAATGTTTAAACCAATCAAGCAATGTTTAAACAAGAAGGTGTTTTCATCAAAACAAATTAGTGTTTTCACATACTTTCCCCCTTGTTTGATGAAAAGAACCTTCAGTTCCTCTTGCGTTTCGAAGATCCGGCAATCTCACTGATGCCTTGCATGTTTCCACACAGTTCTTTGATGCGCTTTAAATTGTTGCGTCTTTCCTCTGTTTGGGCATCATTTGAGAAGTTGGCAACAATTGTTCCTATAGCCTCTGATCCATCCAGTCCTGAGCTGGACAGATGCTGTGCCGAGTTCTCCGGATTACTTTGCTGAGCTTCAAGGATTAGATCAGTCATGTTCAGATGCGAAGGAATATAAGAGACTTCTCCTTCTTTGACTGCAATAGGGAGCTCTGGTATCAAGGATGGACTGTGTTGTTGAAGAATCACTTCCATCTTGCGATTTCCAGAATTTGTGCGGGAAAAAAACCGAAATAGGACTAAAACTTATCAAATATACCTAAATAGGACTCCAAAACTTAAATCCCCCAATTAGGACTTAATTTCCGTCGCCTTCCCAAAAATACCCTCCCTCTAATCTACACTGCCTTCTAAATCCTGCCCTAAAGCATTTACCATAAAAACACACAGAAATCTAACGCGGCTAATACGATTATGGTCCGATAGAGCACGAGCAGAAGAAGAGTGCGAAGAAAATGGCGGACGATGATTTTGAAGACCAGAGGCCGAAGACATTGACAGAATCGAAGAAGAAAAAGGTATGTGTTGACTCGAAATGCGCTGAAAAGCAATTTGGAAATCAAAGCTGGGTTGATTTTTTATAAGATTTGTCATAAGGAGAAAGTTTTGAGTAGAATTTCACATGCATTTGGAAATCAAAGCTGTATTTTGTATTTTAGATGAATTTCTTAACCCTAGTTACATATTTGTTAAATATTCAATTAGATTCGGTCATGTGGTTAGAGCTCTTGTGGTCATGTGAATTAAATTACTAAGGAAATTTGTGTTTCAAAATCAAATCCTTGATTGTTGTATCATATGGTCTCATCATTTGTCTTGTGGACATGTGGACATGTGGGATTCATTCTGTGAAAATTTCTGTTTTCAGCATTGGTTGTTGTATCATATGGTCTCATCATTTGTCNAGAGAAAGTTGTATCCCTCGTTGTCTTAAGTGGGAGGTGTATACAAAAATACAGACTCATTATCTAAATGAGGCAATCTTTAAAAATCCCGAGGTAAGTTTCATATGTTCTTAAAATTAATAGAGTTGTTTTTATGAATACGAATTCTGTGGATAGTCATAATATTCCTTTTTTTCACAGATTGAGATGATTACAATCATTCCAACGGATGAGGAGATTCAGAATCTAAAGCTAGAGTCATGGGACAGTGGTCAAAGTGCAGATGTCATGGGACCCTCAGATCAACAGCCATCTGCAGCAAGAAAGTTTTCATTTAAAAACAAAAAGCTGAAGAAGGAGTGGCACCTAAAAAAATGAAAAAAAACAGATTGATGAAGATGAGGAAATGGGTCGAATTGAAGGGTTCCATTGGAGGGAGAAAGAGCCTCCGTATAGATGAAAAAGAAAAGTATGCAGCCATTGAGAATGAAATAAGGGAAGTTAAGAGGTTGCAAGTGGAACATGGTCAGATGCTTCAGAAGATTCTTGATAGGTTGGATAGACATGTGGATGATGGAACACGAGCTGGATTTAAGAAGTGTGATGGTAATGTGGAGGGCACACAAATTGGGTTATCAGAAGGCATGGAAGAATCCGGAGATAAGAGTGGAAAGGGAAATGAAGCGAAGTTACAATCAAACATGGAAAAAAGGAGAACAAATGGAGAAGAGAATGACAACAATATTGAACTTAATAAGAGTGAAAATGAAGTTGTTGAAAAAGAGAGCTTGTGTGTGGCTGGGTATAAATTTGAATTGGCTGAGACACAGTATGATGAAGATGTACTGGCTGAGTTGGATGTTATAGAGAGAAATACTGTGGAATCCCAACAGAATGAGAAAGAGGTATATGTACTTTAACTTTACATTATTTTTAAGAAATTTGATAACATCTTAATTAGTAATTGTCAAAATGTACATGTGCAGGGTGTTGGAAAAAAAGAGGATGTTGTGATGGCAGATGAAGTTGGGGTCAGTCATGTGGGTGGTGTGATACATGTTGAAATGGCAGATGCCACTGAACCCCAAATGGTCAACGTCGACACTGAAAATGCATTAAAAAAAAGGACTTACGGTGAGTAACTGATTTGTACAATGTTTTATGAGCTAGTTTAGCACATGTGTAGTAGGCTTCTTTAACCAACACAGTAAATATTATCTCTTGTGTGCAGATCTGTAGACCACGAAGAACAAAAAGGGGCCCAATAGGTTAACACTCTCTGGAGGAAAGCATGAAAAAAAGAAACAGAAAATGGAGGAACCTATGTTGAGGTCAGATGAAGCGACATTGAGCCAGATGGAGGTCATTATTGGACCGTTTGCACTGGAGCCCAAAGAAATGCCGCAACCGGATGACATTTATAGGTTGAAAACATATTTGGAGAAAGGAATGTTGAAGCGGATGTCAAAATCAGGAGGGAGAAGAATGTACACCAAGGAAGAGGACAACTTGGAGAATAATCCTCTCATTCTGGACGTGCACACTGTGAATAACAAGACATGGCTGTATGATTTGTTTATGGATCAAGAGTGGTTGGGAACATTGGTAAGAAATATATAACATTTTTATGATGATTTTGATTTGCAAGGTGTTGATAAAACTAACTTCATGCATGTTTTCATTATTTGTTAAAGCACATTGAGGTTGGAATGTTCTATTTGGAAGTGAAAAGGTTCCACTACAAGCTTAGCCAAAAGTATGGAACAACAACACCGTTCTTCATGGATGCCCTAAAGAAACACCAGGACAAAGTTGGTGCAAAAGTGAAAACTGCAAGCGACGTTGGCAGCGTTAA